CAAAAACATAAAAACCAAAAACAAACAAACAAACAAACACACAAAAAGACAAAAAACCTCGAGGGACTGAATAGGGAATACAAGCTTGCAGGGAGAAAGTATTGAAGGATAAAAATTGGGAAGTGGGTGTGTAGTCAAGAGTATTTAGATTCGGACATCTGGACAAGGAGGTGTGAGGAAGTGTGGACCTACCCTGGATAAAGAAGAAAAGGCAACCTGGAAAAACAGAGAGAACAGAATGTGGAGGGGACACTAACAACAGGTTTAAAAAAACCCAGTCCTTTTTTTTCTGGACAGAGCTTGCATGGGAAAGGTTTGCATGCAAATATACCCAACGATGGGGGGTAGGACAAACAAAGCAGCACCACAGAAAGATCCTATAGTGATTTTAAACACCACTTCATAATTTTTGAGTTAGTTATACATGCAGTTTCAGTGATTTCCCTCAGGACTGAGTTACGAAAATATCTGTAAATTTGAGGGTTTTGTTAAAAATTCTGCAAATGAGGCTATATTTGTAAGACTAATGAGAACTTCTCTCTCTCACAATGAAGATGTGATATCATCAAGGCTTCCTTCAGAGGCGCCAACATGTATACTTGACCCTTCACCAGAGCAATTAAGACATGTTGCAAGATGAAGCTTGTAAGTAAAGTTTTTGTTTTGTTTAATTACATCTAGAAAAGAACTTAAGTGTCTGAAAGCTCTGCCTAAATAAATTATACCCGTTTGTAAACTTTGCCTTGTTTGTATCCTTGGACCAGGATGATTACTCTTAAAAAAAGACTTGAAATTGTGACAGAAGCTCTTTGATGTTTCCTTTTGGCATGTTCCTGTGACAAACAGACTTTTAACAGATAGCTGGAATTTGCAGTCCTTCAAGAGAATATTTACATCTGAGTAAAACCCAGATAATACTTTAACAGATCTATGACAAGTACTCAAGAGGTGTGGAGGCAACTATATTAGATGGACTGTAACATGCACATGCACTTAAGTTAACATTAATATACAAGTTTCATTAGGATCAAGATTAAGAGTTTAACTTGCATAAATGCTGAACACTTAATTCCAGCCACTGATGGTTGCAGGAGGTTAGCATCTCTACAAATTAAATTCCAGTTAACTTGCTTAAATTTGTGCAGAGAACATGGAACATCAATGGAATGTTTAATTTTCAGATCTTTGATTTTTTACTAAGAATTCACATATTTTTCACATGTAAATGAAGACTTGTGAGTCAGGAAATCAAGATAGTTATTGGGAGAGTTGATTTATGGTGCCAAACAGCTTGTTCTTTCCTCTTGCCTATCTAGTCAAAGAAATACACACCAGCCAGAGCAAAGTAACCCTACACTCCCAAAAGAATACAAGTATTAATTCTTCAAGATTATCACATATTCCAGGGTAAACAGGCATTTGGTACAAATTACAATAACACTTATTAACTAGAGAGACATGACATTACATGCACATGAAAAAAATATTATCTATCACTCTGGTATTTATTATATACAGGTTAAAAAATCCAAAATCCCTCCAAACCATTAGTCCTGTATAAGCAAACACCTGTACAAATGCAAACTTCCAGTGAAATCCAGAGGAGAGAGTCATATCAATAGGACTCCAGACTTGTCATAGGAATCTGTTCATGCAAAGTACTTTGGAACTGGAATATTATTGTTAAACAAATCTTTCAAGATAAGCAAAATTGAATTGAGAGTTCATGGCTGTATCTGAAGGGTGACCATTCTGTACAGCAAAAAGGCATGTAAATCGTTGTCATCCTTCTCTGAATCCATTCTGTAGGAATACTTCACCATATTAGTACTGAAGATGTCAACCTTTCACTGAAACCCTAGAGTGTAGCAGGTCTAGTTGCAGTGTATACTTTCTAATTTTTTATCTGAATTTCTCCATGACCCATCCTCCTGTTGTCTGTCACTGTCACTGTGCTATCACTGGTGCTGATAACATTGCTTGAAACTATGTCAAATCTTTTTCTATTGTACTGGACCAAAAGCTTATAACATACTGTGTAGCAAGGCTGGTTGGTGACTCAGTGACTTAGAAAGCCTTTGAAAGTCTTACTCTGTAATATAATTCAGCATCTCAGCAGACAGCTGATGGTAGGTACATGGCAGTGAACTTGTCTTTCATTTTACACCACAAGAGACTGTTTGCAAAACCATCTTGGTGTAAAAATAATTTTAAAAAACCGTATAATATAAGCACAACCCAAGCTTCTACTTAAATTAAATCTACTTTGCTCTGTAAGACACTGCAATCCTCGGTGGATGATGAGATAATGAAAAACATTCGAGGCCAGGAACTGGCAGAGTCACTCGAGGACTGAGTGAGTTATGAAGACTTTGATCCTGCTGTCTTGCTGTAGAGCAAGAGTATGAATCATCTGCACCAAACTGCTCTCAGAAGTGATGCTTATTCAGTGCCAGGTTCATGGACATCCGCTCGAAGTCTGAGCATGTTCTGAAAGCAATAAGGACTCGGTAGACCCCGCCCTATCACATGGCTGTGAGAATCACACTATATATAATGGGAGCAAAGACTTGTGTAGGTTCCTTAACTTTCCATCTCTTCTTCCTACTCTGCTATCATAGTTTTTCTTTCACATAGTGAATTAAAAATGAGTCTATGCTGCCTCCAGTTTGCATTGTCTTAACACCCAGAAAATTTTAAGATGAGTCATTGACAATTTCATTTAACACCAGCTTCTCTGTTTTCAGCTGAAGGCCAATCATCCTCACTGAATTTCCTAACGTATTTTTATTAGCATGTGGAAACATTGTTCACTGCCTTGATGGCATAAAGCTTCACAGGCTTGGGCATCAATAATTTATGTACAAAATAGCCCAAGTGTGAGAAGTCATGTTAGAACCCTAGCCTGTGGATAGATTTCCATTCTTCCTGAAATGGTACCCATCCTCTTTGCTGATCACCTGGGATCATGATGAGGTAAACCTGGGGGATTAGAAATGCTATCCAGTGTGAACTAAAATTGGATTATAATGCGTCTGCAGCTGGTGGCATGTCATAGAATCAGTCTAGACTGGAGAACTTTCTGCAGAGTAGGCACCAATGTCAGCTTTTCAGTATGGCTGCTGTCACTGGGACACATCAAAATTTTTTGCTCGTTGCAAGACAGTGACATTGTGGAGGTCCAAAGAACAGCTACTTTTAAACAAAGTTCATTGATGTAATTTCAGAGGAAAGGTGTGGTTTTCAAGAGCACTTTTCTAGAAGCTGTGTTGAGAAACGACTGTCCATTGTTGGCTATTGCAAGTTAGCAAGTGACAGGTTTTAGATGATGAAATCAATGTGGCCTAGTTTCCAGTGGACCAGTGTTTCAAGTTCCTTCACCCTCCTTGGCAGATGTGGAGAACTGCTGCCTTCTCTGTGTGGATTGTTCCTGGAGCCGAGGTAAGGTCCTCTGCCTGACAGGGACAATGGTGCTGTGCTGGCTGTGACCAACACACAGGCTGACCCCTGAGCCTGTGTGGATAGGAGAGAGGTGAGGCCAGGGGAACTCGTGCTGCAGATTGCCTTTCTCCAAACATTACACTTGGTAAGGACTTAATACCTTTGGGCCCTCGCCTTTCTGTCTGTAATCAACATTAGCTCTTGTGTTCCAAAGTTATGAGAGAGAGAGAGAGAGAGAGGTCAGTCAGAGACTGGCTGACAGACAGAGAGAGGGCCAGGCAATGGGATCCCGTTTATTTCCTTGAGAATAAATTAAATCATGCACAAAACTGTAAATTGTATATTGGAGGGTGGGATTTTCAAAAGCTCTTAGACCCAGAGTGGTAACTTTATTTATGCACCTCATCTTAACTCAGATTAAACGAGAATTAAGAACCTAAGTAACAGTTAAAGTCTAACCTAAATGACTTTAATAGGATTTTCTGTATCAATTGATTAGCCTTGATCCCACTTGCTGTATTTAAAATGGTAGACGATAGGAGTTTTGGCACTTATTTTGAACAGTCTACCATTTTATAGAGCTTACATAAAAGCATTGATGATACCTGAAAACCTTGAAAAATGTACAGTCACAACATTAGGTGTCCTAATTCCTGGTCTTGGTAAAAATGTCACTGGGGAAACAAAGCTTTAGATTGCTGACAAACAGTCAACATTGAAACAATATTGGTACAAGTTTCCACAGTTTTAAAAATAAATAAAATAAATACTGGATAAGAGATCTATTTCCTATAGCCAGTTAAAGCATACAGTGTGTCAGAGAAGGCCACCAGCAAAATGCTGCAAAGGCACAATCAAGGCATTACTGCCTTTGGTTTGCATTATTTCTACATGCATGGTGTGTAGCAAAGAGCCATATGTCATGGTAGATAAGGTGCACTGACACTGTCAGAACCTGTGAGCAATTTCTGGCTGATAACTATTTGCAGCAAGGATTGCAGATGAAAGTAAGCAGGGTGACGAGAAGACGGCATGTCATACCTTTGTCTGCTGGACATTGTAAAACTAAGACTGGTATGCCTCAAAATTAATTTCTCCTAGTCAAATGAAAAGCAGATTTCATAGGGACCAATATTTCAATCTCAGTATTTTTTTTTCCACAGGAAAGTTGCCTTTTAAGAGAAAGACTAATTAGCTTTAAAATGCTACTTCTTTAAACTGTGAACAAGGACTTTTCTGTATGTTTTTCAAATAATGAGTTATTTATAACTAATGTAAATAAATCTGTCCAGAGGACACCCATCTATTTACTGCATTTCAAGATTACAAAATTTGCTTTCATTTTATACTGTAAACCTCAAAACCTATGAGAGCATTCTTTGTCAAAATATTTGTATTTGAATTTAAAATGTCAGATGGATATTTAGATACTGCACTTTCAGTGACTAGACCGTAAACATTGGACATTTCAGGACAAAAATTCAGTCCAAATTGGCAGATCCCTGTACAAGCAGATTGGTAATTCTCTGTGAAAGCTTTGAGTTTAAATGAGGGGTATCTTCTGCAAAGAAATGATTCTGAGTAGTTTTATTGCAAAACCTAGATGAATGGCTTGATTTTCAAAAGTGCTTAAACTTGCACAAAGAGTCAAAGGAGGAAACAGGACTTCTCAAATTTATGTCTATTGAGAAGCTCATCTCCAGGAGAAGTTGGGCAGAGTCTAAGCAGTGCAAATAGTTTGACCCATTTAAATTCTAAACCTTAGGGTATTATTTGCCCATCTCCCTGACAGTAAAACAAAAGCTAATAAATAACTACATTGCATCATTATTTCTTGCTACCTTCAGGAAAATCCTGTTTACTTGGACCCTTGCCTGCCAAGTGAAACAATATTTGAGTCCTTCAGTGAGATATAGACTTCAATCCAGGTGGGCAATCACTGGGTATTAACTGACTCAGATGAGTTAATAAATGAATTAGGTATTTTTATTCCTGATTTTCTTTACTTTCTTCAGTAAATTTAACTAGAAAAGAATGCTTTCTATATTTCTGATAATAATCATATTCATAATCTCAATGCAGCACCATTGAAGGAAGCATACATGAGCCATTTTTATCTTCTGTCAATATTCTCCTTTCTTTTAGTGCATGATGGTAGCCAGAGAACAGACCGTCTCTAGGCAATAAAATAAGTCTTTCCTGTGATGTCCTTTCAGCTGTCCAGGCAGAGAAACCTGGCATCATATCAGTGAAATTAAATAAAAAGCATGAGCACAGAAGGACTTAAAAGGTAGTTCCATGATGTGGTTAACCCCAAAAGATACCTCTGATTCCGAAAAAACCATGCAAGATGAATAATATGTACTGATGGCACTACTACTATGGTTGATGTTGCTCTGTTCTCTTGGTTCTGTGCAGATGCAGAATAAGTTGGTCTCTGGCCTCGGGCAGCCTATATCTGCTTATAAGAAAGACACAAAAAGAATTAGACAGAGGATAAGAAAACAGTGGAACTGTACTGGTCAAAATAAGAAGCTTAAATTATTGCATGCCTGCAGCCTAGCTCTAGAGAAGCCTAGAAATGGCCTAGACAAGAGCTTCAAGAAGGGGCTGAAAGCAGCAGACTTCTTTTTGAAGAAGTGAGGCAGAAGCTGGCCTGCACCTACTTCTATCTCAGTGTTAAAGAAAAGCTGATGCCATAGTTAAATGGCCACAGTAAAAAGTGCTTTGATTTGAGGATAAGCATCTTAGGTTTGATGTGACAGATAAATTGGATCATACAGAAACACACAGAGAGCTAACATTTTCAGATGTGCACAAAAATCCAATCTTTATACCAGCCATGTGGGTGGGTGTTAGCAGGGCAGGACTGAATTTGACAAAACCAGGACAAGGTGTCAATAAATGAGACAACTATAATGTGAATGAGAAATTCAATTTATGAGTAGACAAAGAGAGTGCTATCTTGGACACATTATACAGAGAGAACTATTAAAAAAAAAATAAGAGGTATGATGAGGGATGAAGACATGGAGGATGTTCAGGTATAGCCAAATGACAGGCAGAGAAATGACATCTGTCACGGCAGCAAGAAGGTGGCAGAGAAGGGTTATGTTGGAAGCCGTACAAGTATATTAACTGCCAGATAAATGTTTTGGAAGTGAGAAGTGGATGTGATAACCCTAAAAAAGCATGACCAATTGCATAGAAATAAATGATAATTGATATACATCTGATGGCAATACAAGCACAAAAGAGATCACATACTGTAGTCTATACCAGAACTGTTATTAGTCATCCCTGTCCTGTGCAAAGCAGTAAGGTATCTCATCTTTGATTTCTAACAGTTATTTCCATCTGATATTAACCTGTTTTTAGACTGACTGGATAAAAAGTTTTGCTTTCAAACAAAAGTAATATGGTCTTAATGCATATAGCTGGTATGGCCTGTTACTAACCTCCTATCTGGAGAAAAAGTCATTCACTCCAGCTGTTTGTTTGTTTGTTTGTTTGTTTTATATATTCAATGTTTAATTCATTGTAAACACCTTAATTATTCATACTCTTTAATCATCTTCATTCTGTGGGAGAGCTTGGTGAAAAAGTACAGAAACTATGCTTTTAGGACATCTTCACCCACTATTTCTCTAGCTTTTAAAAAGCTAAGCAAAGCACTTTTTTTCCCCTTTGCAAAGGCTGTGTGGCCTGGCATTCGATCAAGGCATATTTCTGCAGTTCTGTCTTCAGACTGAATTCTTTGTAAACTTAACATTTTCTGTCTTGCAGATCACCCCAGAAAATGTTTCTAAAACACCAACACCACTCAGTTATGTCGATTTACACTGAAAATGAATGTGACCTGGTTTAAAACTAACAGCAGTTTTGGAACACGGCAGAGGGAAAAAATTCCTTACTTAACCTGAACAAATTTCCAGTCAGTGTGCTTTGGAATATTTACAAACTAACTGAAGAAAACATCATTTTTCCTACCTTAGCATTAAATACCAAAATATCCATATAGTCTTATTTTGATCGTGAAACTTAGTTAATTGCTTTTATTTCTTTTTACAAGGAATTATGATTAAATCACTTGTTTAAAAAAAGTGAAAATTTAGATAACATTATGCCAATAAAACAGAAATTAACCCTTTCCTGTTCCTAGCTGAGCTCTTACCAAAGTGATCTATTTTCAGCTCTTTGACCTGAACGCTCTCCCTTCAAATAACATTAAAGCTCATAACATTAAGTGCGATGTTAAAGCACAGACATGAGAGTATGCTCGTTCTGCATCTTGATTTGAAGATGGTCTGTCCTGAGACTGGCACAGGGAGTAGCTCCCTCCCTCCTTTGAGGACTCACAGAGCCAAGGGCTTCTTTCTTGGCTCTCTGCTGAGACGACAAACTGCAGTTCTGGCCCTGACTGCAGCAGACTTATGTTGCCATGAATAAAGATTTTATCAGCACAAGAAAATTAAACAGAAGTGGTAAAACAAGAACTAAGTTGTTAAAACTCACCACAAACAGTGAATAAATAAGCTAAATAAAAAATAAAATCTACAACCTGATCTACTCAAATGCGACTTCTTGTTTAAAAGAAAGCCTTTGATTTTTGGCAGTTTGGCATATTGAGAAAAGAAGGCACTCAGCTACAAAACTAAAACTGGCATTAAACTTTAGCAGCAAAAACAAACTGAAGAAAGAAAATAGTGTCGTTTATAAAACTTGTATATCCATTTCAGACCTACAATAACAAAGACAGTGAGAATGAGGAAGACTTGAACAATCAACCTCATATTAATTAAGGGCTGCACTAACATTTTCTAATTTGGGTATTTCAGATTATGGATATCATAATTATTCCAAGATGCAATACAGAAAATTAAGCCTATTTTTTCATGTCCTGTAAATTATCTTTTCACAAAATGCTGAGTTTCTGATTAATTTCTTCTCTATAGCTTTCCAGTGACCCAAATCCTTAATTTTCTTTAAGATAAATATCCTTAGACTGTTTCTTCATAGACTACATCTTAAACATGAAAAGACTTGGTGTGGACATATAAAGGTGAAAGGCTAGCTTCTCATGTGCATCATCCTAGTTTGTACACCTGACTGTGCTTCCCACCCTTGTAGTGGAAAGGGCCTTTGCGCTTTGGCTGTGAGCAAATCAGACTTTTTGCTACACCTAAATAACAGATGAAATCTCACTGCAGTGCACTTAGCAGCAATTAGGTCTGAATTCTCCAGGTTGGCATGTGCACCCTTTAGAGACCTTAATAACAGCCTCTCTAGAATCTCTTCAAATTAGCAATTCACACGATGCTTTTCCTTCATATAATAATTTTAAACATTTTTTCTATGAATAACAGAAGCTTGGCTAACTCTAAATTTGTCCTGTGTCCCTTAAACTATTCCAGCTGTGATTAATTTGATTTTCCTAATCAGCAATAACTCCTGGTGCAGCACCTCCAATTCCTGTCCCACCCTCAGTCTTACCTTGAGTTTCCCACTGGGCTCCCCCAGTTCAGTTCTTCAGCTCCCTCACCCCTGACTTGAAGCCCTCCTAGACCTGCCCTATCAATCAGATCCCTCTCCTGGTCTCACCTTTGCCAGCCTGCTCCTTGGGCAAGATTTGAACAGGTGGTGTGAGTGTCCTCAGCCACCTGCCTGAGGTGCATAGGCAAGGAAAAAGGATAGGAACAAGTTCAGCGTGTTTCCTCCCTCTCCTCCATCTCTCCTCCCCATACCATACAAATTAAAGGAGTTCTTCTGGAGTCTGCAAGAAACAAAAAAATGCCTTTTGAAAGGCACTTCCCTCAAAACCATGTGCCGAGGGAAGCCTGGATCACCAGAATTTCACCTTCAAGGCAGAAGGAGAGGAAACTTTCGAGTTCCCACTGGGGCATGGACAGCAGTTTGACAGGACTAACACCCTCTTTAATAGAGGAGCAGTGTTAGGAACAAACTATTTTGCCAGAAGCTTTTATTGTCAGATTGCAAGGTAGAAGAATTATTGGGCGACTGGTGCAGAGCTGACCAGGAAGTCTGGGGCAGATGTACCTTTTTTACAGCTCCAAAGAAGCCAGTTTACATTGGGATGAGTGATTGCACAGCACATGGTTAAAGAATAACTTGAAAACAAGCCTTGGTCTCCACAAGGAAATTGGAATAGTGTCCATAATTCATACTGAATAACTGGCTATAGGAGCCTTCCTGGCCGTGTGCTGTATCACAACAGTCTTCCTGCGTTCCTTACTGGAAGTTAAACTTCTCTTCTGAGTGATAAAGCACTCAGGCAATGCCAAGATTTATCTTTATTTAATGTATTTAAAGAATTACTTATCCAAATCACTTTGAGTCTGGACATAAACTTTTTATTCAAATGCCAAAAAGACTAATGGAAAACAATCCATTATGAGGGCACCAAAGGTGAAGAACCACTGAAATTTATAACGGAGAGCAGTACATCTCCATAACGGTGAACATCTAGTTTTAGTTCTGTAACAGAAAACTCGATTCTGGAAAAGGAGGAGCCCAAGCATTTGGATAGCAATCTTATTCCTGTTGCCAAGAATATTCCTATATTTAATATTTCTTAGTCACAACGATTTCCAGTTGCCCCTGTATTTCAAGCACCACCTAGTGGATCTATTTAAAAGCTACCAAAACAAAAGCAAGGAGCAAAATATTATTTCTTTTCATGGAATGTATGCCAGCTGTCAGTCTCTCCTCTTTAAAACTTGCTATTTGATTGCTTATTCATAGCAAGTCACAATAGCTCTGAAAAACACTAAGTTAATATAAGTGAACAAGTACTGCTTAGCATGCACAATATTTGGCTCTTACTAAGCCTCAGTGTAGGACATTCTCTTCCCAACTCATTGTGCCTAGAACATTAAGATGGATATGTCCTTTAATTTTCAGAATTTCCTGAGTAAAGAAAAGAAACTTCCTCTTCTAAATGAAAACAAGTGAGAAAGACTGAGTAGTCATGATTTTAATGCTGGCACATAACTAACCAAAGAAAGGTCTTTCTAATCTTGTTCACCAGGCAGTCACATGTGGCCATATAATTTATGTAAGCATATAATTTTTAAAATCTAGTATATTAAGCTTAGAGACACTTGATAGGCATCCTATCTGAGCAACTCCCTACAATAAATATAACATAACATTAATCAATACACTGTTTGTTAATATTTTTATTATTCTTGCTGATTTAATTTAATTATAGAGGGATGGTTACTTATTATAAATTCTGTATTTGATCTGAGCAGTGCATCTTAATGTGTATAATTCATGCATTACATATTACCTATGAAGAGCATTCTTTGGTAAGACTTCAGAATTATTGTTGCAAGAAATGGAGATTTGATTGAAAATAATAAATACTGGGATCTTTAAAGTGATGGGTGATCAGCCTAAAGTAAACTAAGTTTGCCACAACACAGGACTGGGACCAAACCTTGACTGCCTTGTCTAATTAGGGAGCTTAATTCCAGACCTTGCAGTAAAGATTAGGTAATAGAAGTGGCCATGACTAGCCAACTAAAACAGAAAGAACACTGCGAAATGTCACAATAACAGAAAGCACTGTCATGCCAGAATCAGCATGACTTTATGAGATGCAGGTACTGATCTGAAAGATCAAAACACCTGCAAACAGAAATCAATGAAGTAACTGGAAGCAAAAACCACTGCTTAGAAAAAAATAATCCTGAGCTCTCTTCCCTGTAAACACTTTTGAGTGGTGTTGATCCAGCAGCTGATCAGATGTTTAGTTACATAAGTTAATGAAAAGCTTTAAAAAAATGGACAGCTTTTATGTCTGGAATGAAATATAGCAAAGATTGTATATGTCTCTTCGATGAGGCTGTTAAAATAAAAATGGATTCACAACAGCCAATGGCTTATGGGTTCCGTCATTTAATTAGTTATTTCAGCTGTATTTTATATTTATTTATTCATTCAATTAATTTATATTTAGAAAAAAAGGGTCTTAGATCTAACTTTTGTATATTGAAAGTATTATTTACGCATTTTACACTAACTCAGAGTCTATATTTAACTTGCTATTTTACAGTAAGGCACGACAGGAAATAAATTCATTCTTGTAAGTAACACAGAGCTACAAGCAGAGATAATGAACAGACATTTGTCATTAATGAGGAAATGTAGTTACTATTGGTAGACTGAATGCGTATGATGAATGTACTGTCTACCAATCAACACAATTTTATCTTTATTTTGAAATTACCTAAGTTGGTTTGGTCTATATATGTACAGTACAAGATATCTCTGCTTTAAAACAGAATTTAAGTTGCACTCTTCCTACATATATTAATGGGGGAATCCCACTTTGGTGCCTATTTGTTCATGGTATTCTTTTGTGAATATCCAGATATTAAAATATAAATAAAACATATTTATTTTGTGCCTAAATAATGTGCTATAAATACCTTAATCCTGGGGATGCTGAGTGGCTGTGCTGGCAAAGTCGGTGGAGGTCTTACATATTTCAAAGAAAATAACATTTCTTCCTTTCCCAGATTTGTATTATTTTAGAGTGGTGCAAATACAAAATATCAAATGTTCTGATTCACAGGTTTCAGTCTAAGAACATTAACAGAGAACTCATCTTGCATAGACATCCTTTTATAGACAGCAGGCTCTAGACACAGGGTTTGAAAGAGGGATTACTTTAATTCTCTCCAGATCTGTCAGAGCAAGCGAGCTTGGAGCTAGAGCTGGAGTTACCCTTCCAGCTCCTCTTCTTCTGGTTAGCAGCTAACATCTACAGCACTATGCTGTATGACTTTTAAATCTAACCACTAAGCAAACTACACAGCAAAAAGCATCAAGGAAAAAAAGCAAGCATCACTGAGAGAACGATTTTAGACAGCTTTGTAAGGTTATTGATGAAAATTTCCTAAGTTTAGAAGTCAGATTAATGGAATGGGATGTGGTATGGATGCTGGGAGCAGAGCCAAACCACTCATTTTACCAAAGACAAAAGTTGCAGAACTTCTTGAGTAAGAATGAAAACCAGAGAATCCTGTGAAAAAGATCCAACTTTCTGCCATTTCTGAGGAAAAAAGAAGAAAAAAGAAAAAAGAAAAAAAAGGTATAAGTTTTAGGGGAAAAAAGAAATAGGGCTCTGCTATGACATGAAGAGCCAGGCAGTAAAAATATTTCATTTATCTAATGAAGTAATCAAGAGTGCAGGAGTCAAAATGCTGCAGTCACATTCAGAATATTACTTCAGAAAAGTTCACAGGTATTTTCCACCATGGCAAACAAAAAATCACAAATAAGGTGGTACAATTGTGCACCCTTTCCATAATGTATTTAATACTGCTTTTCCAAAATAAGTGCCAAAGCAAATGTATGGAACAGATGACTGTCCTAGCAAATGGTGTCTCAGCACACCATGTCTCTTTCATACAGTAGACTTTATTTTAATGACAAAGATGAGATGGAAACCACAGAGTTTGTCTTTGAAATAATAATGAAATTGTTCCTGACAATTTTCCTTGAACATCAGAAAATTATGAAATTAAACTAAAATTAGAGAATAGCACTCTATGCATATCCTCAGGCAAGGAGGCTAGCACGTGAGGCTCCGAAAATACTAGTTTTGTGTATATTTACCTACAGCTCATCCAAGCCGAATCTTGAGACAGAAATGAAACACATAAGCAGCTGTGCTGGAGTAAAAATGTCACAGCCTAAATGGAACTAAAGAAGGTTTTCTTACTCCAGGTCACCTAAAAATACTTTGACAAACAGGGGGGTATCTAGCAGTGTCTGTAAAACAGTTCCATGCTTTTTCTGATCTAGCACATGGAGTATCTTGAGATGGGTAGGAACAGGCCATGGGCTGTTTGCTAATGGGCTGGGAAAAGTACAGCCCAAATAGTGCTATGATGCAGAGCAAAAGTAAACCAGCTATATAAACTCCATCTACTGGGAATCCTCTGTAGCCCTCAGGCCGTAGTCAGGATGATGGCAGAGCCCAGCTTCAAGCAGGCAATAATGATGAGCAATTTGTACACCAAAAGATAGGCTGCTCTATGTGATTAGGAGCAAAGCAGCAAGAGGCATACATTTTACACAAAATATGAGTGATATTTAAACTAAAAATAGGCTGATGGTCAGGAGGTTTTCACAGAGAGAATGTAAGTATTAAAGGGCATATATATAAGAACTAACAAGAGAAGATCTGTCAGTTGTAGAATCACTGTTGTAGACACAGCCTGCTGTGATATGGCTTCATGTTCCCTTAAGCCAAACATTTAGCACACACTGGTCTCAAATATACCAATACTTTAGTATACATTAGTATCTCTGTGGAGAAGAACTTGCCAGTTTGAAAAGATTCTGTCATGATTCATGCTCCCAGATAATGGAGCCCACTAAAAATAACACACTACATTAACAAAGGAAATAAAATCAAAGTATATAGGAAGCAAAATCATTGTTGGTTAAATTCAGTAATTTCCATTTTAAAAGCAGCATACACTAATTTAGCTGCTTTACTTTGTCACAGTGTTAACTTTGAGCTATTACATTCTATTTAATTGACCATCACTTGTAATTTTATTCTACGATTATTTACAATCTATCATCAATTTTGCAGTCCTTTCATACAATGTTTTACATGAATCTTTTTCCTTAGTGCAAACTTGTACTTCCTCATTCCCAAAAAGTGAATCAGCAACATTAACATACTGTATAACTTTATCACTCTTTCATGATCAGTGTATTTTCCAGAATGCCTGTTGCATATTTTGAAATACCCTGTTATGTAGATGCTACTGTACATTCAAAACTGTTCAAATCTTGTAAAAGAATGATTGATAGCATCTGGGACCCGCCCTGGACTTCAACATAGAAATTAATTTCTCACAGGGGGCAGAACATGCAGTTGTTTAATAACTATTGAGTAAATGATATCTGACAAAGTCTTTATTTATTCCTATATTTAATAGCTCAGAACTATTAAGTCTCACACACAGAGAGGGAAATTATTTATCTGCAACTGAGCTCTGTTTGTCACTCCTTTACACCCATGTTTTGAGGACTTTCATTAATGCAATGATCCTTTATGTCACATGAAGTTGGACACCCCAATCTCTTGACCCCAGCTAAAGCCAAGGAGCAGCTGGAGGAGTGCTAATAACTGGGACATTCTGGAAGGCATGTTAATCAGCAGCCACCAACACCTGAGCTTTGACTTGGTCTGATGAATCATTCACAGATTCTCTCAATCACAGAAAATAATAAAAGTATTGATTAGTAGGAATATCTGAAGACCACATAGTCCAGCTTGCTGTTTGGAGATGGTCTATCACCATGACTAGATTGTAATGCATTGATGTATTTTTATATTTTTTGAGACAGGAGAAACAGAAGAATACTATCAGGTATTTTCTACTTATTTAACAAATATTTTCATAATTCTTTTGAGCTACAGTTTGGCTACACTGAGAAACATAGGCAGTAGGCTATTTACAGTTTGTCTGTCGTCTAGTATTAAAGATTCTTGGAACCACTTTCCATGTGTGGCAAGGCTTGACAAAGCACCTGTTTTACAGTCCAGTGACAATCTTGGAGATGTATGAGAAAATCACAGTGGTTTTTTTACATTTTAATGATTGAGAAATTTCACTGCATTTTCTGAGCACTTGAGAACTTGTTACCATTGTAACAAGTAACCATTGTTACCATTCTGTTACTTCAGAAATTGTTTCCATAAAGTTTTCCTAACTTTAAAAAATACTGTTTTTCTTCTGGTTTTGTTCAGAGAAGGTAAAGGGAAAAAGGTATCTCAAAATGGTAAACACAATCCTTTTAGTCCTTTAAGTTTGCTTTTACGTTGGCACAATAACTATACTGAAAGCAGTAATGGGAAAATCCAAAAGGTTTTGCTGACTGTAACTTTGATAAGGACTTACTGATTTCAAGATTAAACAAAAGAAAACTGTCCTCCTCCTGAGCTCGTTGCAGTCTAGAGCTACATTTCTAGAAGAGCCCCAAGTCCTTTCCAGGGTCATGAGCACATGTCCATTTGACATGCATTTCAAAGAACCACGAGGAACTGGAGTCCTGATGAGAATATTCCTGTTGGTTGGCACTCCCTGTCCAATTAAGTCAATTCAGAAAACTGCCAGCACAGTGGCCTAGAAATGGCTCCATTGGCACCAACGCTGCAGGTCACGCACACAGATGACGCAGACCTTCAGTACGATAATCTGATGGCAAAGGGTGGTGGAATCAAACCATTACAGTTCAGATCACAACAATATTCCTGAACATTAACCACTGGACGATGAAAAATTAGAGGGGATAAAAAAGAGGCTTAAAAGCATTTTGAAAAATGAACCATATATATTTCCAAAGTCTCTAGAGCCACATAAGGCCGGAACTTGAACTATAACATTACAGAACTAATTGCCACAGAGCATTCCAGCAAGTCCTCAGAGGCTTGCATTATTCCCCATCAAAAAGGTTCATTTGAGCCTAAGCTTGCAATGCAGACTGGAATCCTGCTGAACTTGCACTTTCTTTAAGGATAATTTTCACTCTACCACATTCCTAATGGTATACATAAGGAGGAACAATGTAGAACCACTTGCAAGCACACATATACCAACATTATCAAAAACTGGAAATATTTGCAGCACATTGGATTTTTGCCATGCAAATCACAGCAACTCTGATAAGTGAATAAAGAAATCATAGTGCTTTTATTTATTTCCCTATTACATTGCATATTTAACTAAATAGATGTTAGTAAGTCACTAGGGGCCAGCACTATTTCTGAAGCAATACAGTATTTCTACAAAAGAAGCACCATTTAAAACTCCAAATATTAAAAAACAACTGTCAGTCCCATAAAATATAAGACCTTGGGTCAAAACCAATGAGATATTAAGTAATAAATTTGAGTTCTCCTTTCCTGATGGCCATTTTTAAAGTTTTTGGCTGCTTTCATTTCAGACTTCTTTGTCTAATCAGGAGGGCCAAAACCATTTAAAACACTGGCATTTTAATATAATTTTATGATTCCAAAAATAGAGGATTAAGCCACATTTCCTGGACTCCAGTATAAAATCTTGAGAACTGGCAATTTGCTATGAACCAGATGGTTCAAAGGCTGTTGTTTCACTGGACCAGATTCCCTAATGGACTTCTGTGGCTGATTCTTTCTGAGTGTTACTGAGGTCAAATTTAAGGTCTCTAGGATTGCAACTGGAATTTTCAGTGCCATATTCACCATGTAACTTGGTGGGATGCACCCATGGCCAGTAGTCCCCATGACCTAAGAAATGCTGAGATCTGAATTCTCTCATCACTGGGAAGAGATTAGAAGCCACATTTCTCACAGCAGTATTATCATCACCACACCAAAATGCATTCCAAGACTGCAGTTATTTTACTGTGGCTAAATGAAATAAGGATAGAAGATGCCAAGAAAGCAAAAAAAAAAACCCAACAAACCAAAGGCAGAAATGAATGTCCAGCCTATCAGTAAGGAAACTGTCTAATGTGGGCACTCCTTCCAGAGCCTGTGCTCTGTTTGATTCACTTTTACTTTTCTTCTGCCTATTCAGTTTTTTGTACGTATGTTACAACACTTCACTAAGAAATGAAAATTCCCTCATGTCACACCCGCCTATGGATTAGGAAAACTGTAAAAAAGAGAAAGAAATATGATTTTAAAGACTGAGTCTCAGAGTTCCACCTGCTTTTTAACTGCTGTGCTAGAGGCAGGACTGCAGTCTTACTTGTGGATACTTATTTTAAGGGTCTTACCCAAAGTCAAATTTATAGATCTACTAAAGGTCACCTAGTTCATCCAGGTGTCATAAAAGATCAACTTTAACCTTGCCAGTTCCAATTTAAATCAATGATATTTTGTCCTTGCCCTTGATGTTTGAAATGCATGAAAATATTTGATTGCTTTCTTCCTATGATATCCCAGCCTCATTCTTCTCCTTCTAACCCAAATAAGGCCATTTATTTCAATCTTCTATTTTAGAACTTATTTTCCACATCCAGACCTACATCATCCTTGTTGCTTCCCTCTGTACTGATGAGTATTCCTTCATGGGTAGTGGTCAACATTATAGACTGTGCTGCAAGAGTAAATGAGCATTCTGCAAGTCCTGCATATACAAATGCTGGTAACTTCCAGTACAATGTTCACTTTTTGACAATTTTAAGAAATGATTTGCCACTATAAACTGACTCTTCATCCAGAAGTGTTATTTCCCCAAGATCACTTTGTGCAATTATTAAAAAAAAAACAAAACAGAATAAGAACACTTTAATTTGAGAAGAAAAAAACACATGCACCAAGTTTTAAAAGGGACTTGGGCTCAGGGTCATGAGGAATACACTTTCCCATTGCCCTGACAGTTATGTTTACACAGTTGTATTGGATTTAAGGCATTCTTACCTCCAGACTCTAAGCAGCATATTAACTACAATGCTGACTTTTCTCATTCAAGTTTATACTTAACTCTCCCCTGGGCCATTGCTGAAGTGGTCTTGGATTTTACTGATGGCTACTGCAGGAAGCCCCTATACAATTGCTGAACTTTTCCCATCCCTATGCAACACTTCCCATGCTTAAGGACGGTGTAATTCATTACAATGGAGTTGAAAGCAGCTAGCTAAAATTCCTGCATTTGATGCTTAATTCATTAACAATGGAGTTGAAAGCAGCTAGGTAAAATTCCTGCATTTGATGAAGCACAGTTTGTTCTCCCACCACACCCCTACTACAGCACAGGTACCTGGGCAGGGGCAGAGCAGAGGGGGTGTAAGCTTGCAGGGTAAGGGTTCTGAGCAGGCACTGTCACCCGTGAGCTCACGCAGTGCAGACAGCCCAGGCTCTGAGCCGCGGGCTCCAGCGCCAGGCAACACCCTGGATTCCTGCTTACAACCTGCTCTGGAGATGCCAGCAGCACCTGGAGTGCTGCGTCCAGTCCTGGGCTCCACAGTGCGAGAGAGGCATGGAGCTCCTGGAGCAGGCCCAGGGGGGAGCTACAGAGTTGATCAAGGGTCTGAAGCATCTCTTTTACGAGGGGCTGGGCCTGCTCAGATGACTGAGATGGGCCCCATCAATGTGTCTAAGTATCTCAAGGGAGGCTGTCAAAAGATGGATCCAGGCTCTTCGTGGCAATGCCTAGCAACAGAACAAGAGGCAAGGGACAGGTACCAATACACAGAAGTTCCACTTGAATATGAGGAAGAACTTCTTTACCGTGTGGGTGACCATGCACTGAAACAGACTGCCCACCCTAAAAATATTCCAGAAGCGTCTAGATACAATCCTCTCCCACGTGCTCTGAGATGACCATGCCCGAGCAGGGAGGTTGCACCAGATGCCCCATTGTGGTCCCTTCCAGCCTGACCCATCAGTGATTCTGTGACCCAGGAGAGGACAAGCGACAGGAGCGGCCGCGGGAAGGCCGCCCGAGCCCTCCGCAGGCAGCAGCAGCTGCTCTGGGTAGCCAGGCTGGGTCGCCTCACGGGCGGCTGCCCCCCACCCTGCCTCAGCAGGTCCCCGGCACACGCGCGCTGGAGCGGAGAGAATCCCCCACATTTTCCATCGCCCCCTTCCCGGGCATTCCCGAGCCGCACGCGCGCTCCCAGGCCGACGGGGGCGGCCCCGGCTCCTTCCGCCCGCCGCCGCCTGCCGCGCGCACGCGCACTCGCACCTCCACGGCAGGCCCCGCCCCCCCGCGCCACGGGAGCCGCTGGGCGGCGGGAGGGCGCGCGCGCGCGGCGCCGCTTGGCGCCCCACGTGACATGGAGGAGGCGGGGACGGGAAGGGAAAGGTCAGCGGCGACGCCGGCGGCGGGGGGAGCGGAAGGTCAGGGCGGCGCGGAGCGGAAGTGGGAGCCGGAGCCTCGTCCGCCATTGTGGGGAAGCGGAGCCCAGAGCAAGGGGGGGGAAGCGGCGCTGCGTCCGGCCGGCCGGCTCCTTCCAGCGGGAACCCGATCGGCGTCGGCAGCGAGCCCAGGCGGCGGCGGCGGCGACAATCAGGCGGCGGCGGCGGTGGGGAGGAGGCGGCGGAGGCGAGCGAGCGGCCCCGGCGTGCGGAATCACTCGAGGCCCAGGCGGAGCGAGGGGATCGCGGCTCCCCGTGAAGAATGTCAGCCACCAGCGTCGACCAGGTACCGCCCGCGGCGCGGGGGGGGGCGGCCGCCCGCTCTCTCCCCTTCCCTCTTCCCGGCCCCGTCCTTACCCCCGGCGGGGGAGGGCGGCGGCAGGGCGGCCACCTGCACCTTCCCTCGCCGCCGGGGCGGCGCGGTTCGCGGCCTCCTCCTTCTCTTCTTCCTTCTCTCCCTCCGTCCCTCCCCGCCGCCGTGGGGAGCGGCTGTCTCTCGCAGCCGGGATGGCAGGCCTCTTTCCCGGCCCGGCCGCCCCTATTTATAACCGCTGAACCGCGCCGGAGCCGCTCCGCCTCCCCGCCCGCCCGCAGCGCCCGCCGCCCTCAGCCCGGAGCGCTGCCGGCCCGGCCCCCGCCCGCGGCCCCCTTTGTGTGTGACCTACTCGGGAGCCGGCTCTTCCCGGCCAGGCCCTCGGGCTCCCGGTTCTTCGCTCCGGGAGCGCCGTAGAGCCGGGCTCCCCGCGGCGCCTAGCGCCGTCTCCTCTCCTTGCGCACCCCAAACTCCCCCAGGCTCCTCGTTACCGCATCCTTTCTCTTCCTGCCTTTCTCTCTCCTCGCCCACCTTTTCTCTTTTCGGGCCTCCGGCTTCTCCTTTTCCCCGGCCTCCGCTTCTTCTCGCACTTCTCATTTTTTTCTCCTTGCTCTGTGCAGCACTTTTTTAAACTTGGTCCTTCACGGGGCTTAGAATTTATTATTTTTTTACCTTTGCTAGGCCTCTGCTGGTCTTTCTTTCTGGCTGGAAGCTATTCTGTCTTGATCTCTGCTTCCTTCGTGGGTTTCTGGCGCTCCCCAAAAGTTTTAGCCCTGCAGTCTCTTGCCTCCCTTTATTTTCTCTCTGGGCCTTTAATGTTTTGTTTCTTTTGTCTCTGCATGCTCTCCAGTTTCCTTTAAGCATTTATTTCTAGCTCAGTGATCTCTTAGCTTTTCATTGGTCTGTCTTTCATGAAGGCTGCTTCTTCCCAACTTTTTCTAGTTCTGTGTCTGTTCTTGGCTCTTGCATGCCTTTGTATCTGGATTAGATTCATCCCAAAAGATGAGGTGGTTGGGGTTTTTCAGAGATTTTTCCCGTTTAGGGAGAGGGCAGTGTCTAGCCAGTGTACCTCTAGGTGAAGCAGCCTTGAACAGTGTTATGGTAGCTCTGAGACAAATGTACATGAAAGTAACTTGGAGGTGGTTACCACCTAAACTTTCAAGTCTCTCAATACTGAGCTCTTCAGGACTAAAAATTGTTAAGAGTGTGATGAAGCCTGGAGACCCACTCCTGCTTAGCTGGAAGTGATATGAGAATGTGAATTAGACTTTCATTGCCTAGCATTTGATTTTCTAAGTTAGTTTGTCTTGCTGTAGAGGAATTAAGGATACTGTAACTTATAATGTTACATTGATTCTTAGTGCATGACAGATTAACAATGTTTTGTAATGACTAATCCTAAAAAAAAAAAATCCTCTTTAAGGAATTATTTCCTTGTGTGAATGCTTTGTACAGACTGTATAATATTCGCAGTATAATTGCCTAGGTGAGGAATGCACAACTTGTAGCTCAGCATATGATACAACTCTATATTCTTTTGTATATCTAAAAAGCAAGGCATTGTATGTTATTCTCTGATAAGTACCTGTCAGTCAATAGAAAAGATGACATATCATAATGAAATTTGGATATTGGCAGTAATCTTAAAGTACTAACTTTTTTTTTAAACTGTGTTTTAATTTTTGTTTATTGCTTATGTTTTTTCAGGCCGAGGAGCAATTAAAATTCAGTTCTTCAGCTTTTCAGCACCATTTAAGCTTCACATGCTGTTAAATCCTAGATGATGTCAATGTTTTTAGTAAAATTCTATCAGGGTTTGGTTTTGTAGTATTTTATAATATTATTTTAAGTAATGTCACAACATTTTTATAATAGCATGGTTTAGTAATATTTTAAAGTGATATTTAAGTTGAAAAGGGCAGAATTGGCAAATAAATAGAATTACACTAAAGTTGCTATTGGAGGATTCTAACTGAACCTGTTTTCCTTTCCCCCCTCCCCCCACTTTTCCTATATACAGAGACCTAAAGGACAGGGAAATAAAGGTAAGTTAATATTTTGCATTTCTATATAAATCTGTAGCGTTGCTTTTATGGAGGGTAATGTTTGACAGTCATAACAAGAGGTTGTAGCTATAGGATGTCTTTTACTTTCAGAGCAGGATGACAGCAAATAGTTACTTCCTACTTACTACAGCAAAATGTTACTTCCCAGCCCTTTTACTGTGGCACAGCAGCACATCGGTTTACAATGTGTTATTTTTCAAGAGATTAATGTCAGAAGTCAGACAGTTCAATAGTTACTTCTTTTTAGCTGCCTTTATGATATGCTTGTATTGTCTCTTCTTAGCATTACACCTTGGGCCTTTCTGTGTAGTGAGTAGAATCATCAGGAAGACTCTTTTGAAGAGCTTCCTTAGTTTGCTAGACAGCAACCATGTGACTAGTTACTCAAATCTGTGAGCAGAAAACATTACCTTCCTTTTCTCAGAATTTTTGAAGTCTTGCTTCATTTTAGCACCAGTAACTGATCTTTTGTCAGTATTTGTAGGCCTTCTGCTTTTCTGCTTTTTTCATGTTTCTGTCAAGGTCTTAGTTTTTAAATACCATATGCAGTGGGATTTCTTTCCAACAGAAAGAAGGAGCTACTTACTAACTACTTAATAGTCTTCTCTCTAAAATTGTTGGCACGTCAGCTGTAAGCAGCACTTCAGATTATATCTTGCAGTATTTTGTTTGGAATTTTTCTCACTAATACTCTATTTGGAATTTCTTTTTGCCCAAACAGTCCACTTGTGCCCATTTAATTCTTAGCTGCTCAGCAAACTGAGCTGTAGAATAGCATGCACACAGCTACCTCTGTGTGTTAATATCCTTATTATGTAGATAAGAAACTTTTTTTTAGCTCAGGTACTCTTTGCCCCTCTTAGTTTATTATCTGAACTAATCTAATTGTTCTCTGTGAGCAGTCATATAATGTTATCTACAGCATAGTTACTCTATTATTCTGTCTGCGTGCAGATTATCTGCTTCTTGTTACATATGTTGCTTGTGAGGTGGCACATGGTTTCCAGATCTCATTGAATTTGGCCTGTTCTTTTTAATTTCTCTGCATTCAGAGAAAAATGAATGTGTTTACCTTCTCACATGTTCTTAGTTTGGTTATTCTTGAATACTTTTTCCTCTCTTTTTTTTTTTTTTTGTTTTTTGCCCAAAGTGCACTTATTAACTACTTCTTGTTTTTGAGATAGTTTGGGTTTATACCTTCCATGTTGCCCTTAAATGACAAGAAAAGTCAGACTCAACTGTAGATGGCTTCACAATTTTTGAATTATCATTTCTCAGTTTTAGTGAGATTAATTAGGTGCATCTGTTAGAGACTCACACAGGTGGTTTTTGAACTATACTCCATATATGTGAATTGGAGTGGAAGTATTAAACATTTCTATTTGGGTGCTATGTTGCAGTGTGTGAAAATGCCCTAGCTTTACTTTGGCTTATTTATGTTAGCATATTTTTGTGTTCTATAATTTGTCACTGCTGTGGAATGTTTGAATCAAAACACATCTCTGTTTGCTATGTAAGGAAGAGAGTTTTGCATTTCTGAACTTGGATTTTTTAATGGAGTGCATCCTTTTAAATAATAAATACTCATGTTGTATTCTCTTGATGAGAGTATGACCTAAGTGAAAACTGTAGTAAAACAGAACAATTAATCTCCGTTCTGTTAAATTATTTGGTGTTTATTTTGGTCTCTTTAGTAAAACTAAGCTATGACTTAGCTTTAGATTAAAGGTCTAGGAGATTGTGCTAACATTTTCAGTGTAGTACAAGTTGTTGTCTTTGGGCTAGAGGCTTTTTCAAGTGGTTGAATTCAGTGTCAGCAGTCCTTACTGACCACATGTTAGCAGACAGCCTTTCAGTTGTCATGGTGGGTCTCAGCTTAGAGGAGTGTTGAGGGAAGATGTGATACTGAGTTAACAGACCAGTCTGAAGTTGGTTCTGTGCATAAGAGTAGTAATGTTAAGGAGAATGACAGAAGCTGTCCACATCTGTGGTAGAGCATATGAGAATGAGTGAGCAGTAAAAGGGGTGTATACATATTTCATATTGAAATGAAAAATATTAGACCTGCAAATGATATTGTTAGGCAGCTGATTTTTATTGTCTATTTTTATTTTTGATTTTTATTGATTTTTATGTTTAATGCTTTGAATTTTATTCTTGCCTTTATTCTAATTGATCATAATGTGGTGTACTGTGCTGTTTCCTTCAACCACAGTTTGTGCGATTGAAGTTCTAGTATGTAGAACAATAGTACTGTCTATCTGTTGTGCCAGATATTTGTGGTGGTATTTCAGAGACTTTAATGAGTAAGTCATCCTATCATCGAACTTTTCTTATTCCAGTTGTCAACTACTATACAGTTGACAAAAAACATCAGAACTGACATTCATCAAATTAGGATGCATAGGGTTGTGAAGAAAAAAGACATTCCTGGAACTCCTTTATTTTTTTCCTCTTTCATTTATTATGCCAGTGTATCAAATCTGTCATAGGAAGGTGCTGACTTATCTTTGCACTTGTATGTACAACAGTTTTTTGTTTTGTAGGAGGCTTAAATGTAATTATTAGGTTTGAAACAAGAAAGAAAGGTTTCATGTTTCTTTTAGTGTTTATTCTTCATATTAAGATGTGATGGGTCCTAGGGAAAAAGTTATTCTTGTGCCTTTAGCTATCATTTTTTGTGAGTATTTATTCCAAGGACAGTAGCAGTTTAAAGAATGTTAGCTTTAAATTCCTCTATTTGATGAGTTGCTTCTTCCCAATACCTAATTACACTGGATGTTTTCACAGTGTTTGCAGAAACGTGGTATTTTTAGCATTTTATTGATACAAATATTTTTAGTATCTGTAGATTAGTTTCAATTAGTATTCTTCATCACTGCCCTGTTCAATTGGAACACTTCACTTGAGATTTTTGGGAATGAGGCATTCATTTGCTCTAGTGAAATGTCTGTGTGGGCTACATTCTTCACTATTAACACATTATGTAAAGTTGGAATGAAAAGCTAAAGAAACATGCTTCTAGTGATGCTATTTCACTGGGAAATGTATATATTTCACTAGAAAAAATGTCAGTGTAGAAATATCTCATGTTACTGACTTAATATCTCAGTACAGAATGAATAAGAAAGAAAATACATTTACAAGAATATCTTATGTTAGCTGTAATGTCAGACGAAAAATAATTCTGTCTTCAGTGACCTTTAGATACCTGTGGAACAGTAAACACAGCAGATGCATGTTTTATGAAGATTAGCTGTCAGTATGAGGAGATTAATTTTGATAGGATACTAGTCTTGACATACATCTGTTTATTCCTTTCCTTGTGGTTGCATGCTTTTAAGAAACTGGTATGCTGCTACCCATGTTTTTGATTACAATAGATTGGTTTTTGAGAGTTATGCTGTCTCTGCTATTTGGTTAAGTCTAAGCAGTGGACATGGACAAAATGTTTTGAGGCTCATCCTATATGTAACTGGCCAAATATAAAGAGGAATTCCAGCTCATTAATATGTTACCATTGTGTGTAAATTCAGGGTGATACATACCTTAACTGAAACTCTATTTATTGGTGGAAAGAATGCCCAACACCTAATATTTAATTTAATGTTCTGTCCAGTTCTAAACTGTGTTGTGCTCAGCATTGTGGGCCATATTTGACACTTGCTAGTATAGAAATGCAGTGTGCCAGTTTGTAATAACTGAACTGTCTGGTGTTCTTTTAAAACTTCAAGAAGGTTTTCAAAGCACAGGTTGCTTTCTTCCCAGATAATTGCTTTGAGAAGAACTTCTGTATTAAATTATGAATTGTTACTTTATTTTACTGCTGTCTGAAGTTAATAAAACTTTCCAGGATTTCGATTATTCCTTGTGATTATATCTATTACTTTGTCATTTCTTTCAGCTAGTTTTATTCACTGAAGGCAATTTTGTTTTAGGGATGTTGAAGTCAAATGTGAAAAAAAATTCAAGCACCACTTGGCTTACAATGTGAATTCTGGCTTGTCACAGTGCAAGCTTGCCCAGTACAAGCCAGCTTGCACTGTGACACTGGGTAGCAATCCCCCTACCGCCAATGAAGCAAGGAAAAACCCCTGACTCTTAAGCACTAATTTCAGCGAAGTTGAATATTTAATTACATGTTTGTATATGCTGTTCAGAAGCTTCTGCTAAAAGAGGGAAACTGTAAAGTTGGCTCCTAACTCAGTTTTTTAAGTTTCAGAAAATCTGCTGTTTTGTTGTAACTTCTGCAGTCATGTTTTTTCAGTGTGATAGTCCTGACACTTTATTTTTTTGCCCCATTGAACCTATTTGACCAAAAAAAAAAAAAAAAGTTGCATTTGGATAACCAGTAATTTATTTTTGAGAACAGATCTTCATCTTCAGGTTGTGTAATTGAAAGTGCTGGTTTAAGTCCCTGTTCTGCTTTACACCATGGGAAACAGTGGAACTTAGCAGAAATGTGTGCAGTGTGGCTTTGTTTGAATAGTAGCCTGGGGGATGGTAGAGAGACACTTCAAGTAATTTGGGCAGCTGGAGAATCCCAGGTAGGTGTAATGCTTTAGATGAAATGAAAGGTAATAGGAGACCAAGAAGAGCAGGTAGGAAGAGATTCCAGCATATAGTGGCATATGTGTTGGGAAAGGCTTTTAATCACACTTTGGGACTTACCCTTTTATTTCTGTCTTGCTTTGTCACCTCAGAGCTTCAGCGATGTCACTGATGCCGTACAGTTATGTAGGAAATGCAGGATTAAATAGCTGAATAGTGGCATCCTTCATGGTTGTCTTGGTGGGTAACTGCCTTTCCTCCTGGCAGGAGAAAGCTGTATGTTGCAACTTTCCCTGAACCTATTGAATATGTCTATAGATCGGGTTGGTCTGCACATTTGCACTTGGTCTGGTACTTCCGGAAATGCTGGATTTACTGCCTGTGCAAATAAGGTGTGCCTGTAGTTCTTCATCTGTCTGTGGATCTCAGGAAAGAATAGTCAGGAGTAGTCTGTTCTAGTTGCCATCTTTGCAGACCTCTCCTGAGATCTGATCCTCATTATCAGTAGAATGAGCTATTTTGTTTAAATTGGAATGGTGCTTAACAATAATATGTATTTCAATGTACGGGTGATTAAGAAGTGTTACCTAGATGGAAAGTGCAGCATATTTTCCAGAGAGTATTCTAATACAGATTTATTTTTAGTTTCAGTACAAAACGGTTCGATTCATCAAAAGGATGCAGTAAATGATGATGATTTTGAGCCATATCTAAGTAGTCAGACAAATCAGGTAAGTGAATGTTGATTGCTACATTGAAGTTAACTTTGAGGTTCAGCTGATTTCCAGACTTAATTTTTTGGATATTTCTTACCATTACTGACTTACCTAAATATACGTAGAAATATAATTTTATGTCATATTTTATTTCATGATGTGATATCTTAAGCAGATGAAGTATTCTTAAGAATTCTGGAAGAGCTTCAGTTAAAAAGCATGCTTTGATGTCTCTTGCTCTTGTGCTTCTGCCATAGCTTCAGAAAGATGCAGTTACAAGAAACTTAAGCTAAAAACAAACCCCAAACCCTTACATTTAAAACAAAATCATCATTTTGGATGCAACCCAAAACAACAGTTTTATTGGCTCTGAGACTATATTAACTGCTTGGACATGATTTCCTTTAAAGGTGGTAGAAGTAGCTCACAGCTGATGGTATAATAGATGGAAGCTTTGTATCACTACAGCTTGGTACAACTCTTCTGCCAAGAAGCTAATGACTTGACTTCCAGAGCTGTGAATTGCCTCTTAGTTGAAAGTTAATATGGGTTATGTTAAGTTTGTAAACTAGAGTGATCTTGAGAGAGAGTGCAGGTCATTAAAAAAACTTAAGAATTTTTGCTTGCCTTCACTTTTTTTTCCCCAATAATACAACATTGAGGAAGCATCAGCTAGAGGATGATATGTGCAATTTTTTCTACAAAACAACACCAGAAATCATATGGGGGCAGTCTTTCAAATGTCTCAAGAGGTAAATTGTGTGATTTCTCAGGAGTCTATCTGGTGTAGTACTGATTTAATGCCCATTCTCCATAGCATGGATATGTTACCTTTATTTTGTTGCTACATGTGAAACAAACAGGCATCCTTGCATCCATTTCACTGTAATATTCTGTTGGAGTCTCCAATTAGAAGTGAGAAATATGACAAAATCTAAGAATACCACAACTTTAAATCATAGTTGCAGCTATTTTTTTTAGTTATGAAGGTACAGTTATTACTTGTTTTTAGAGTGGATTATTTTCTTGATACTGTTGGCATGGAGGCATTTTAAACCTAGCTTAGTAGCTAAAAATGAGGATAATGTTACAGAAAAAAAGGGGCCCATTAATGCTTTGAGCGGGTCTCTTGAAGAAATGGCCATATCTGACAGATACTGCACTCATCTTTTATGTTGTGAGGCATGGTGGAAATTAGGTATATTCATATAACATTTTTTGGGTTCTATTACAGGCTTTCTTCCCCTGAGCATAATTGTCAATATTGCTGATTTTTTTTACATTTTATTTTCTTGCAGAGCAACAGCTATCCACCAATGTCAGACCCATATATGCCTAGCTATTATGCTCCATCCATTGGATTTCCATACTCTTTAGGTGAAGCAGCATGGTCAACTGCAGGTGACCCTCCAATGCCATATTTGACAACTTATGGACAGATGAGCAATGGTGAACACCATTACATACCTGATGGTGTATTTAGTCAACCTGGGGCATTAGGAAATACCCCTCCATTTCTTGGGCAGCATGGATTTAATTTTTTTCCTGGGAATGCAGACTTCTCTACATGGGGGACAAGTGGATCTCAGGGACAATCAACGCAAAGCTCTGCTTACAGCAGCAGCTATGGCTATCCACCTAGTTCTCTTGGGAGAGCCATAGCAGATGGACAGGCTGGATTTGGCAGTGATACTCTGAGCAAGGTGCCTGGAATTAGCAGCATTGAGCAAGGCATGACTGGACTGAAAATTGGTGGAGATATGACGGCTGCTGTAACGAAAACTGTAGGTTCAGCTCTGAGCAGTACAGGTATGACAAGCATTGCAGCTAACAGCGTGCCCCCAGTTAGCAGTTCAGCACCTAAACCAACCTCATGGGCTGCAATTGCAAGGAAACCTGCTAAACCTCAGCCGAAGCTCAAGCCTAAAGGTAATGTGGGCATTGGGGGCCCTGCTGTACCTCCACCACCTATAAAACACAACATGAATATTGGAACTTGGGATGACAAAGGGTCAGTGGTAAAAGCACCCCCAGCTCAACCAGTACTGCCTCCTCAGACTATAATTCAGCAGCCTCAGCCATTAATTCAACCACCACCATTGGTGCAAAGCCAACTGCCTCAACAGCAGCCTCAGCCACAGCAACCACAACAGCAACAAGGACCTCAGCAGCAGGCCCAGCCTCACCAGTTGCAGCAGCAACAGCTGCAAAACCGCTGGGTAGCTCCTCGTAATAGGGGTGTGGGCTTCAGCCAGAACAACGGAGCTGGTAGTGAGAACTTTGGTTTAGGTGTTGTATCTGTCAGCTCTTCACCTTCTGGTGTGGAAGTGCACCCTGTGCTGGAGAAATTAAAGGCCATAAACAACTACAATCCCAAAGACTTCGATTGGAATCTGAAGAATGGACGTGTGTTTATAATCAAAAGTTACTCAGAGGACGATATTCATCGCTCCATTAAGTACTCTATCTGGTGTAGTACTGAGCATGGTAATAAGCGCTTGGATGCTGCTTACCGGTCCCTGAATGGAAAAGGCCCACTCTATTTACTCTTCAGTGTGAATGGCAGTGGACACTTTTGTGGAGTGGCTGAGATGAAGTCTGTTGTGGACTACAATGCATATGCTGGTGTCTGGTCTCAGGATAAGTGGAAGGGGAAGTTTGATGTCAAATGGATCTTTGTCAAAGACGTTCCTAATAACCAACTGCGACACATTCGCTTGGAAAACAATGACAACAAACCGGTTACCAATTCGAGGGACACTCAAGAGGTACCCCTAGAAAAAGCCAAGCAAGTGCTTAAAATAATTGCTACTTTCAAGCATACCACCTCAATCTTTGATGACTTTGCACATTATGAGAAGCGTCAAGAGGAGGAGGAAGCCATGCGTAGGGTAAGAAATCAGTGTCATTACAATAGCTCTCTTTTTTTTCTGTTTTTGGAAAACTTGTTTTTAATTCATCTGGAATTTCTGTCTGCAAGTGTTAAATCAGAAAGTGGTACTTTTTACTCCAAGTGTCTACTTCATATAACTGGCTCTTTAAGAAAAAATTTAAGTTCCTGTAACTTGTTTGTTAGTTCACTCATCTGTTTAATCACAATACTAAGGTAGGCCTGAATAAGCAGACATCTGACATGTTCTGCTTCTTCGATGCAAATTAAAACTGAATTGAGTCCATTATCCATAACTGAAGTCATCTTGCTTAGATTTTTACAGTTCCTGGGTGTCACAAAAAGGACCAGAAATTAGAGAAGAACTGTACTTTATTTAACATAACATTTCAATTCCAATTCTGCTTTAATGAAATGTTAACAGCATGCTTAGTGTGAAAAGCAGGTTTTCTCCTTGATTCAATTTATCTTCTGTGGAACTGTGAAACAGAAGTAATGCAGTGATGACTTGTATAGTATCAAAATAATTTTTTTTTTTCCTTTCTGATAGTGCATTTCCTAAAAAATGTAATTTGTAGTTTATTTCTGCCAGGAAGAGTAATTGTGATAACTCTGTTATAGAAACTTTCAGTTTTGGACGCATTTCAGGAAACCAGACAAGGGAAAAGCATTTAATTCATGCAGTTTTATAATACTTGTCTACTTTGTCTTGTATACCCTCCCTAATTATAACAGTTGTGCTCACCATTGGCCAAAATATTTACTTTTCCTATATTTGCTTTCTTTCCAGACTTACCAGTAGTTGTAAATGTATGATTTGTCTCATATTTAGAAACATTTCAGGAGCTTTTTTTACCAGTTAGATGATATGCAAGTATTCAAAAATGGGAGTTGCCATCAGTACAATTGGTTGCTGATGGTCTCTGCTCATCATGTCACACCACTCACTGAATAAAAACCCCCAAAAGTTTAAGGTTTATGCTAACTAGGGGCCTTGAGACGTGAAGCTGAGAACTTGTTCACTTGAAGCCGACATATAAAGAAGCTGCAAAGCAGGTGAAACGTTTACTTCTCTTAGGTTTCTAGTACTGTGGTGGTTTCACCCGTGTTGTACATTCCTAATCCTTCAACCTGTATGTTGCATCTCCTGTGCCAGGCATACTCAAAATCAATTTTGTAGTTCTATTGCACAACTCTGCAATAAATTGTTACATTGAAAGTTTTCTGTTGTTGGGAGGCTAGGTAAGTAAGTATTCCAGTTGGGTATGTAATGCCTTTTGGATTTTTTTTTTTCCTGAAAAGAAAATGGATGCCCTAAATGAGTATTGTTACATTCATGGTATCCCGATGATTGGGTGATGGACTGCTTTCTTAACTAATATTCAGTGTAAGGGGCAAACTTGGACTTTTTCAGACTTTGGTACAACTTTATCAAGTGCAGAATCACCTTGCAGTCAAGGGAGATGGTTGTCCCACCCTACGCTGTGCTAGTGAAGCCTCACCTAGAGTCCTGTATGCAGTTTTCAGTGCTGCAATATAAGAAAGACATAAAGCTATTAGCATCCAGGAGGGCCACAAAGATGGTGAAGGGTCTGGAGGGGAAACTATGTGAGAAGAATCTGTGGACACTTGATTTGTTAACCTGGAGGAGACTGAGGGGGAGACCTCATTGTGTCCTCATGAGAGGAAGTGGAGACTCAGGCACTGATTTCACTTTGGTGACCAGTGGCAGATTTCGAGGGAATGGCCTGAAGCTATATCAGGGAAGATGTAGATCAGAAGAAAAGAGGGTGGTTGAGCTCTGGAACAGGCTCCCCAAAAGAAGTGGTCACAGCTCCAAGCTTTTCAAAGTTCAAGAATTGTTTGGTCAATACTCTCAAGTAGATGGTGCAACTCTTGGGCTCTCCTGCCCAGAACCAGGAGCTGGACTTTGATCCTCATGGGCTCTTTCTAGACATTCTGATTCTGTGATTTATTGTGATTTTATAATGTTTCAGGAGGACTAAGATTATAATGTATCTCTGTAGCCTCACACTTCAGTATTTTCTATATTTTCAAGATCTTGACATATTTCACAAATAACTGGTTTGCTTCAAAAATATCTCCTTTTATGAAAAAAATTCATAAACAAGTCATTATTCAGACGTACCGTAGCAGCTCAGAAAGATTGTTTTGTTTGTGTTTTTTTTCCCTCAGCAGTAGGTAAAAGCCTTGTAATGAAGAGAAGGAAAGTAGATCAGTGGAAGTGTTTCTATGTGTGCTAAACTTAAAATTCAAACTACTGAGTTCAGCATTTAGTAGGTCTTGAACTAGATAACTGTGATGATGGTTATTTGAGTAATAAAGTAGCATTGCTATTTGAATATTATCTTAAGAGAAACATACGGTATCTGTCTGATTCAAGTACTTTGTTTCTTTGTGAATAGTTACCTTACCCAATACTACTGGGAGAAAACATACTTGTCAAGATACTTGCAATAGCTGCCATTGGCTCTTTTACAGCATCAAATTGATTTTATAACCAATTATGAAAAATTAGTCTAGAACTGTGTAGGTTAGTTGTGAGGTTTTCTCTCTGTAGGTGGATTTGAGGCATGCCTTAAACAAATTAATATAGACTTAAAAGACAGGAAGTTCAAATTAAACTAATGACGTCTACTGAGAGTTTATCTTTAGCATTCTCTTATGATTGAATGTTGATTTTAAATCTCTGTTTTTTCTTTTATCACACAGTGTACTAGCAATCTGTCTTTAAATTGTAAACATACAATTGTTAACTCTTATGGTTCAAGTCTCTAAATGCACCAATTGGTGTTGTAAGCTCTGGTTGATGGTTAATTGAATAACTCTTTATTACCTGGTGCCAGCTAAGCTTTCATGGAGCTGTATTTAAATATGTGCACTTTCTACTGCCAATATTACTGTGTAAATTAAGCTCGTGTTCATTTTCTTTGGCAGCTATGGCAATCACTTTGTTTCCAGTGTTTTTGTCATGAAAAATATGCTTATAACTTTTAATAAAATATGAAATGCATCAAGCAGCAGTAGTAACTTCCATGTTCCTTGAAATTCAGTTATGTTTTGTTATTGTATAGATGGTTACAGAGTTTCATACAGCCAGCAATCTAAATACCATAAATAGCAAATGATTTAGGGATTTAATTTATTTTATAACTGTTCATCATTAAAGCTAATTTATCATAAAATAATTGGTTGTAAAAGTTTAATCTTAACAACTCAGGGGGATCAATAATTCATTTCCAATATGGCCTAGCAGTATGTTTTATTAAAATATGGCAGTATACTTCTGAAAGTGCAAGGAATAGTCTCTGATAAACATGAAACTTCAGTAACTTTGCCATTTGATAAAGGTTAGTTGAAAATGACAAAGAATAGTTTCTTTAAGCGTAAATATTGGAACTGTAGTGTCTACCACTGTTTGGTGTAACTCTGGTGTGGTTAAGGTATCTACAGCTGGGCTTGTGCAGTAATCATTCCCTTTCTCTTACAGCTCGGGTTTCAGACTCCTATTTTAAGCATACAAGTGCTGTGATCTTTTACCAAAGGATCAGAGAAATGAGTGATGCTTTTCATCAGTTCTGTCAGACATACGTTGAAATAATCTGGAATTCCATTTGTCCTTAGTTAACTGCTGCTTTGTGGTTTAAATGTGCTGATTTGTATGCATGTTATTTAAAAAGATGTTTTATTGTCTTTCAACAGAAAGCTGTAATATCTAAATGAATGAAACAGAAATCTAAAATATACATTTTAAGATGACAATTACAATTTAGAAAATAAAAGGTATTGATAATAAAGAAAAACATCTGTAGTAGTAGCTTTGCATCTGGTCTTCAGTAAGTATATAGGTGAAAATATAATGTGGCTCTGATAAAAATGAAATTGTTGGCACATTATAACTTCCTTGTCCTCAAATGGTGGCTTACCCGTTGTCTTAGGACTTCTTTTGGTGCTTTTTGTTGAAGAATTCTACTTTTACACCATACAGTGGGGAAAAAAGATCATGGTTTCATGTAATTTTAGAGTGCTTTAAATGGTTTTCGTAATGCAATAGTCCAGAAAAGTAATTAATTTTTGTTCATGAAGCAAGATAGAATTTAGCATATATTTGTGTTTATCTAATTTGCATTTGGAAATTTTTAATTTTCAGGAAGCCTTTAAATGGCAGATAAATAAGCATTTAAAATTTTAGCTTTCTTCTATTGTATATCTTGTAATAGGAATGCTGACATAGCTAGAACTTTGTGACTCTCAAAAGGAGCAATTTTTCCCCCTTCATTCTGATACGAATGTAACTTTTGTTTCTGTGATAATTGGGTCATAATCAGGCTGCAGTGTTTAGCAGTGTAACTCCTTTCCTTTCTAGGACATTGCTGACATTGTTCGTTATTTGATATTTCTTTAAAATATGTTGAAGGGAGAAAACATCCATCAAGACTGAACTGTAGCTGCTTCTTCCTCCTCTTAATCCCCAAACATCAATTACTACATTACAATGTCAAAATTAGATATAGATCCATTGACAGATTTTCATTTAAGGAAAACAGGTGATTGACAAAAGATTTTAATGCAGCTAAATTATATTTGTACTAAACTTTTAAAAGTTCGTGTATTTACATCTATAAGAGTCTTATGCTATTAATATCTTCTGAGAAACATGTTCATTTCCTGTATGCTTTTGATGATGTTTCAAGGGACATTATTTTGCAATTTCCTTGAAATTCATGTTTATCAAGAGTGTCATCTTCATAATTGGAAGTGAGAAAGTAGAAACAGGAAACGCTTTTTTTCCCTCCCTTAATAGTCATGAGATGAAGCTGCACCCCTGGTCATGGGAGAAGATTATTTGGAGCTAGAATAATTTTGAACGTACTGCTCCAGAATTTCCTTTCCATTATGGTGTGCTTATTTGCCATGTCTTCATTTGCTTTTTCATTTTTAGTCTTTTGGAAAAACTTGAAAATGACCTTCACGTTCTTA